CCTCATAGGTCAATACCCTGTTCTCTATAACACCTTCAACTCAAACTGGAAGTGCGAAGGAGTGGAGTAGCGAAGGTTATGCTCATGAGACTGCATTACAAGTTTCAAGCCCATGGGCGATGCAAGATTTGCTACGAAGTATGGGATTTTGCTGCTCCGAGTAGGGTCATCTTGTGGTCTCGCCTTTCATAACTCGGCGTTAACGGCCGACGATCACAACTTTTGACCCGTAGTCTATAGCACTTTATCACTGTCCCAGAAAACAGCCGAGCGACACGCCTGAAGGCGACTGTAATCATCCATCACGATTTGTCTATCAAATGCACGTTTCGGAATCATACATTAACACAGAATGAATCAATTATTTCTCTCTCATCTTTTTGCCGCCACTCTTGATTTCCTTGTCCAATAAATACACTAAATGTCGCTGCCATTTTTCTTTGTTCGTTTTCGAGTGATTTCTCATGGAAAATGATTCGCACCTTCTCATCAGGAGCACAGACGTGCAAGAGAGAGTCGTCGTGGTACGCTTGATCCAAACCCGCTCTCTTGTCACCTGATAACGATCCAAAGCACTTCTTCCCATCGCAATGTCCTCGAGAACGGGTCACGTAATTGCCGTGAAGTCCTAGAATGCGCTACAGGACGATTTAAGAGGTATGAATTCTGGAATGAATAGAATTCGGAGAAAGGTGGTGGTGTGTAGGGAATGCCAGTTGGGCAGGATGGCCCGCGGGAGGAAAGGGAAAGGGTTGTGCTCGATTATTGTACGCTATATGCATTGTAGCTTATGCACCCTCGACTACACATAAACCTTTTTTGGCATGTGCGGCTTGACGTAAATTCCATTATTGAATGTCCTTCTACTAAACAGACTGTAGGTACAGGAGTGAGCTGTGTATGCTCTATAATGCGCTTGATCCATCACGTGTTATTTCAATTTATTTTACAGCGAAATTGCACGCACGTGCCGCATCACATAGTGAGCTTCAGTGAAAGTGGCATATATTAAATATCAAATCATACCGCTTTTCATCAGTGTCTCCGTCCGACCTTCTATGCAACATGTCGGAACCACGATACGTCACTGCGAAGAATAGAACGCGCAATTAGATGACGCGTCGAAATTCTAAGGGCACATGCGAACGAAGTCGAACGATTCCTTGTTATTCCGCCCTACAAAATTTTGATGCATATGTCAACCAGTTTGATCCCCGCTTATGCACGCAGGGGTAGGGAGGAACCACTGGAATAGCAGCATGACGTGCTCCATTAACCACCTCACCGTTGAGTGTGTTATACCTCCTTGTACCCGTTCTCTTCGGCGTATGGCAGCGCCAGTCCTCTCTCCCTTTCTCCTCTCCTCCTTTCCTTCCCTCCTTCTCTCCCCCTCCCCCTCCAGCCACCCTTTCTTGCCCCCTTCCCTCTACCCCCTCTCCCCCTCCCTCATCCGGCTGCCACGGCAGCACCATGTAGAATGAGACTGAGTGTGCTCGATCGGTGTTTATATAGCCGCTGTGGGTTTATCATGATCATGACATCAACATCACGAAGTGTTGCCCTTCGTACTCCCTGGTTTTGTGAGCGGTCGGTCCGGACGGACAGAACGACACACACACACACACACACACACACACACACACACACACACACACACACACACACACACACACACACACACACACGACAAACCGACACACCAAACTTCTGGTTTATATAATGAAGTGATTGCTCAATCCCAACCTTTTTATTCAAAACTTTTATCAGTTGTTATCGATTGTTGTCATTTAAGATAAGTCGTTACTCCTGCTCCCGTTAGATCTTCCATACCATATGGAGGAGCGGAGGTTCACTGTGACCGCGAAGACCGCAACGAAATTGGTGGTATTCATACTCTTATCAGTTCTTGTCTCGCTATCACTTTTTCTCCCACCCTCTTGATATCAGCTTCAACTCACAACGTACGTCGAATTCCTTGATGTCCGCTCTTCAGGGTGTTCACGCCACACATGCAGGACGCATCTATGCCATTCATTTCGATTCCTTACCACTTGTCGCCATCTCTGTCTAGATATTGAATTTCTTGAATGAAACTCCACCTGGCTGGGGGGTCTTACTTGCGAGCTTTTAACTCCGCGGGGAGACCAATCGGTCACTCGTATGTTCACTCTTGTCGCTAACACCGGCAACAGTCTGCTATCCTTTTCGATCGTAATAGTCCTCGAGGGAGGCTTTTACATCGGTCTGTCTTCGAATCTCATGCTGGAATTTTGTGCATCAACGTCGCTCGTTCTATTGCTCTTTGGGTTGCTGCCAGTTTTCTTTCTTCATCTGTTATCGTGCTCCATGTTTCGATTGCCCGTCCCATTCTAATCCGGAGCTGCATTCTGTCTCTTGCGCGTTATGGGCGAGGAACGTCAGGATCATTGAATGACCCACCATTATCGACTGTATTTGCTTTTTGGAGGAGACAAGTCTTGGAGAAAGTTTTGAATTTCTTCTTCCATACCCTCCATACCCTTAGGATTCGGACACCAGAGCCATCTGTTTCTGTCAAGAATTCAGGGATGATGGTTCTAAGTCGAGTAATGATATATGTTCTTTCGACTAATCGACTTCTCAGCAGCTTCTTGTGTTCTTCGTGACCCATATAGCTCTCATGGTTTGTTCCGGACGCATTCTGAGGCATTTTTCAAAAGAGGTTTGGAATGTCGAGGTCAGTGTTTTCGTATCTAGTGTACGTTACCATGTCCCGTGGAAAAATCTGTGGTGGCAGCAAGCGCTTCAAGCATTTCTTCGGGTAGTACGTATCTAGTTCTTCTCGAGTAATACGCAGCTAACCGTCTCCGCTCCCCTTTCAGTTTCACTACGATCGTTGCTCGAACCAAGCTAAGACCTGAGCCGATGTTGAAATGAGTTTCCGTAATGACTGTAACGTTTTGGGAAAGTCGTAAGCAATTCGCTAAAAAGAAGTCGATTTCATGGAAGTTCTATTTGGAGCGTGGTAGTCGATCGGCGCCCTTGACGTTCTCTGGAAATATGAATGGCCACCGATAACCAACATATTTCGCTAAACTAAGCTAACGCTCCTTCACAATGTTTTATTCCTGTAATTCCATACGGTCCCACGGAATTTTCTCCATGTTCTTCTCGTTCTAAATGAGCGTTACAGTCCAGCACACACTATATGATCTCCTCTCGATGAACTGTTTATTGCTCGTTCAAGCGCATCATAAAACTCTTCAAGAGCATCGTCATCATAGGTTCTTTTATTGACGGTATTTTCATCCTGCTTGCTTTTCCCAACTCAATCACAATCTTGAGAATTCTTTCAGAAACAACTAACTTCGCAGTGAGCTATCCTCGAAACCAAATGCGGCGCCACAATGAACCCGCTCCACCAACTTTTCCATTCCTCGTGCCGGCTTCTAGTATGACTTTGTGTCCCAGTTCCATGTTCCTGATTCATCTCTGAGCGTTTCTTGAACACACGCGACATCTGTGGCATTTCTATCCAATTCTGATAGCAACTAAACGATTACAGCGTCGCATATACCAGGCCTTGGGTGTTTATGGTACCAATATTTGGGGGACGATATCGTTTGCCGTGAGATTTCTTCCACTCTGCTGTTGCCCTTTCTACCAGGAAGGGCCTTGAAACAATTTCCCTTCATTATGTGAACGCTCTGGGCCCAAATAGAGGGCAGTTATTAATTTCCAGTCTGACAGGCACATACATACACGCATAACCGTTTTGCGGATAATATACAGTAGGATCTCAACAGTCCCTGATTGCAGCCATTCCGAATCAGTCCCGCTGCTCTCTTGCCGAGGCCTTCTCAGATTACATAGGATAAGGCATTAATCGCGCACACTCCCACTTACGTGTAGACAGCATTTGGTGATGCCGCTGCAAAGTCAATAATGGAATGTCTTCGAAAATACATGTCATCAGTACCAGAAATCAGTTAGCAATAATCGAAGTAGGAGTTGCCTCACCTTCTAGACTTGCGTGATAATGATGTCCTTTGCCGCAGCATTGACTTCCCACTTCTCGCTCATTCCCGACCCTAATAGATCCTCTCCAGTATTCGACATTTTTGAGATGTACAGATGTAATGTGTTGAGTGTAATGCAGTTGCAATAACACTGAAATGGAAGGATGATGATGACATTAGTGCCGAAAGCCCACTGGTAAAATAAGGGAGTTCAAGAAATTTAAGAACGTAAAATCTTCAAAAGACAGTGTTTTCGCTATTGTTTCAAAAACTGCAGTCATGCCAGTATTGGTGCAATAATGCAACCCCCTGATTTAGTTACCTAGAGCCAACTCAGGAAGATTTATACAGAGTCAAAATCCGTTAAGTGATGTAAAAAAATTTAACGAACAACACCCACCCCCTTTTCGCAGGAGAGCTCCCATTACGACGTTCACTACGACACACAGCAACTCACCACTATGGCCGTTTATATGTACATTGCCTTCCATTAATATATGTAGCTACATCCTAACTTTTTGCTGAACCAAAAGTGTGGTACCTCTTGGGATCATGATTATCACCTGTAAATTCTAAATGCGGAGAAACCCCAATGGCGTGTTTTTTTTGAGAAATATTCACTCATTTGGTTTACATCTTTCTTTATCTTTTTCACCATTTCACAGAACGGGCACACATTGTTTGTTGAGAAAATTTGTAAAAAAAGCAACAATGGACTTTTGAATGATGTTTCTTTTTTTCTCGATTAATGGACTTCTATAATGATTTCATCGTATACGCCACCAGGTCAACATCACAGTGGCATCGAAATTCACTCAATCGTTAGTGATGGACTCATTGAGCTCTTAATCTATTTTTCAAAATGCTTGGTCTCGGATATCCTAGGGCGGGCATGAATTATCGAATTTTGAATTAAGCCAGGTGGAATTCTCTCATCCTTTGCCACGACTACAGAATATCTGGCTGGCTGCAGGGCTAAAGCTAGAAAGTAGTTTCCTAGTGGCTGATTCGAGAGACAAGCTTACCACACTTGGGCGAAAACCATCTACATATCAAAGTTTCTCAGCCTCCTTACATCGACCCAGCCAACGGTAGTTCTGCAGTTGATAAGCACTCCTGTGTCTCCAATTCTCATCGGCAGTAGTGGCATTGTTCAGTCCCGGTGAAACAGGAACAAAATTTTGACTGAAATCATGTTGCACTTTTGAGATTGTCATTCATGTTGAAAATCCTTGCCCAAGCTTTAACAAATTCCCAAAAGAGGGCAGACCTGTATCAACCGCGTGGCTCAATCGTCTGAGTGTGAAGGTCACATAGCAACTTGTATCGTGCGAGTTGGCTTCAACAGGAGATCACAGAAGCAACAAATCGAGCACCGGTTTCCTTCCTGGCCATGGATTTTATTCCAGACCGTAGCCTTCTGGGCGTGAGAAATCTTGCCATGCTAATACTGTAGGGTGTATGAAGACAAGGGAATGTATCACAAAACAATTTTTCTCCTGAGTGGACCGACTATAGCTCAGTAAATCTTCATAAATCAAAGCGAGAAAAACATGGCTCTTGTTCCCTCATTTTGGACAATAAGAAGCAGGTAGCAAGGTTATGATTCAGAACTGGCTAACTTCTCGCAGTGCGCCCTTGGAAGCCTACATAAAAATATTTAAAATCGCTAAATGAGATTTTGGCGTGAGGTCCAGAAAGCGGCATGATCTTTTGGGGCACCCAAGCATGTATTTTGATTTGGGTCGTCTGAAGCGGACCCCCTCCTTCCGTGCGTTAAATTCAATGAAGGAGGGCATGCTATCATATTCTTTGCGGGCTTTTAGCAAATTCTGCACCCTAGACGGTAGACGTTCTCAAGTGCACAAAAACGCAAATAACAGTGAACATCCCTCCATAGCTTTGTCAGTTGAAAGCGAATTTCACCTTCTGTGGAGTTCTCCAATGCCATCTGTGGCTATCTCAGGCCGTCTGTATAAGATGAACTCCCTTTCCTCGATGCAAATCGCTTCGTCCATAAAAGAGAGCTTATAGCTGTAGGGTTTCGTTACAGTCTAGTCTTGCCCATTTCGGTGGAATGTTCAACAGATCGGGGATGTCTTGTGAACTTCTAGCAATTTTGTACATGCTTCAACTATACCTTGACGACATATCGTGTACCTGGCTGGCTCCCTACGCTCGACATTGAATGAACTCACGCTTCTGCCCATATCCAGATTTCCTTTTATATGAAACCAGTTTAGCTCCGCACGCTACCGTGCCTATGACAGGAAAGGCTTTGATAAAACCAACAGCTGGTGGAGTCAAATTTCAACGCTAAGCAATAGCTGCTTCTTGAATGCGTTGGCTGTCCGTAGCATAGGCGGCCCACCTTGGCTGGAACGTACTGTTTGATGAAGCGCAGTGAAGTGCGGAGCTAAAGTGATGTCTGTAAGCAACCACCATGCATCGAGTATCAGGATAATTTAGCGGTCGAATAATTTTGATGATATCAAAGTGAAACACACAGTACTTATTATCTTATTTATCGAGCACTTCATTCATCCTTACGAACTCTGGAAATGTAGTGGTCGAAAAAATGTATCGGCTTACGACGACAACGCTGGAATGATATTGATACGTTATCCACATGGGATCTGGGTTCGAGTAACCTACGCTCGTACACATATCGTTACTATCACTCTTTATCAGTCGTTCTCACTTTTTGACCCCCATCAAATATGTCCCCCCCCTTCCATTGTACTTGAAATACAGCGCTTCATGGCTGCCTCACTGCTGCTGGGACGTGCGCTATAAGTTTCATACAATTTGCGTTTCAGCGCCTCTTGTCTGCTTTTATTAGTCGTTATCACTTTCTGACCCCCAATATGTTCCCGTCCCACCCCCTATATCATGTCCCAAAATCAGCTCCTGACGACTGCTGCGAAGCGCACTATGAATTTCGTGAAATTTGTGTTTCAGCGCCTCTTATCTGCTCTTATCAGTCGTTATCACTTCTGACCCCACCAAATATGTTCCCATCCCACCCCTATATCACATCCCAATCAACTCCTGACGACTGCTGTGACGCGTCCTATGAATTTCGTGACACACACACACACACAGACAGACAGACATAGCGCTTCATACATATAGAGTAGGGACAAAAAAAGAAAAAATCATGGGTGAACCTTCATTTTTGTGACGCAAACGAGTCTAAGTTTTAAACTACTCAAGATTGCGATTACTTCAAAGGAGCGCTATTCATGTTTTTCGGCATGGGTAGAGATCTCGCCGAAATTTTCAAATAATCCTTCAAAAGAGCCATCCCGTCCCACTGCAATACGGTTGCTCATCTTCTACCATAACGATCCCCTTCGAAGTTCAGTACAGTTTCCATGTCGCCATTACCAGCACATAAAAACCAGAAGAGATCCTCTCCAAAACCTCATCCCAATTACGACTGCCGTTGTTATACTTGGTGCAGCGGATGTTGACTCTGACAAGTGAGTTCAGCTCCGTCCGCGTTAAACGCGTGGGAAGCAGTAGCACGATATTAATCACTCTGAAAAACTGTGCATGCTCCATGTTTCACTTTTGAACGAATAACAATCGAACCCATCTTTGAAAACACCGAGGTCAATGTCGCTTCTCATGCAATGAAGCTAAAGACAAACGTACTGCTTACACTTTCCTAAAATAAAAATCGGCAGTCCTGAACAACTGAACGTTGTGCCTCTGGAATACATTATTGTCGTCAATCACGTTGGAGATAAACTTATCCTTCTGAATTATTTTCAGATTCTACTTTATGCCTCATACGCGTGTGTATTATATAGCTTTCCATGAATTCCCTGCTAACAATACCGCCATATTTGCATCGTCGCAAGCCCGTCAGTCCAAATGTTATTCACGACATCAGCGAATCCGAACAACGACCGATCGAGGCCATAGTCAACTATGAGGCTAAGGTAATACAGCACTATCGCATTTTTAGTTCATGTCTTCGGACCTATCCGAATAAGGAGGGGTATTTGGTACGATAGTTTGTGTCGCCTACAATAATTTCGAGTCGAGCGATATGTAAACGAGAGCCAGGTGTAGTTCCGACCGATCCAGAACTGGGAGGTTCATATTTAAGATTTTCGACCGCTTATGTGATTGTGATTGACGTTCTGGGAAAGGAGGTGTTTATGACGGAATTTGCAAGTTATTCTAGTTAGCTACTAAAGTTAGAAATGTTGGGACTTTTTTGTTGATCCTCCGTGCCTAAATTTTCTCCATGTGAATGAGCGAGTGGTTTGTAACCAGCTATGTTGAACGCCATGTTCACATTCATTATATTCAGATGAACTCGCTATACAGTACCCAACGTAACATCGCCTTCGACAGTCCGGCATTGACTGCGCCGCAAAATCGGCTGAAGAAGTGGATTTTTCTATTTGCATACTCCTCTTTTGCCGGCCTCAGTAATTGTCTTGTACATGCCTATACGCACGATGTGATTTGGAGGTTTGCTCACTTGTCTCTTGTTTCTTACTTGTTTTTACGGTTTCTTATTTTGGTTGAAATCAATGAATGCACGTTCAAGACATGAACTTGAAGACCAACTTTTAGACTCAGCTCATTATATTCTCAGCCGATATCCTTCAGTGACATTGATCGGTCTTGGCGCGATTCTGCCATAAGATTTCAGAATGATTCACTCCGTCGTCAGAAGGGTGTTACAATATTGTGGACCGAACTATGTGCGAGCGGCACAACTACCGGCGTGTTCTCCTTCACTACTATCAATCTGGTCGCTCCACCACTCAGGCCCGAGATGAGCTATGGTCGTCGAGCAGTGCACCTTGCAACCTACAATAGGTGCACTCGCTTCTCTAGAGGAGAGCCTTGCTGCAACGAAGCTGCTCGTAGTGGACGCTCACCTTTCTCCAATACCAGCACTGTTCTAATTTCCGTTCGAAGCACTCGTTCTCGGATTTAGAACGAATTGGAAAAAATAACTCCTACTTCTCATTCCATCATCCACGGTATTCTACGCAGAAATCAGGTTCGTGCAGCATTCCCTGCAGTTGTGTCACACTATCTAGCTGAATTCGATGACAGGCCATTATCGAGCAAGATCAAAGTGGATATTATTGAAGGTCAACACAGCGAGCGCAATAGTAATCTGCAATTGAATGATAATCACATGTTGTATCAAGCTCACATCAGTCACGAGAAACGTTTCTTACTCTGTCGCAAAATACTTGCCCCACTACCCCACCCTGAGGGTGATGACGGATAAGTTGAATGATTAGGCAACACCCAGCTATCTTTAATATAAACGATGGTTCTTGAAGAATTGAGAGTGGCTCTCCGACGCAAGGTTGGGCGTGCGTTTAGGAATCCTCGACAGGTGGACGGGGGGAGGGGTCGTATTGGCCCGCTGGGAGGAAGAGATCGGGCCGGATTGATGCAGTAGGATCATCACTGTTGGAGGACAAACATCAAGGATGTGATCGATGGTGTGCAAGATTGATCACGGATTTCCAATAACAGAATTATTCTGCCCTCATCAAATTGTCGTGGCCATTTTTTTTCATACTGGACGTGTGGAGCACCTCTGGCAACAATCTAGTGGACGAACTCTTTTAGCTTATGAGAACGTATTAACTTTTCAGAATTTGACGAAAATGAAGCAAGTTATTGCTTCGGAAAGTGTAAAAACTCGTGCTCATCTCGAATTTTCCTCGTTAATTGATCTAAATTTGTTATTTCTTATAACTTTTTGTAATTTCAATACTGATTAGAAAGAAGCTCTTCACAAAACTCCAAATCTGCTTTCAGATTGAAAATTCGTCATATTTGAAGAAAGTTATAATCATTTGAATATTTGTTCAAATTTCAATAGTAAATAAGCTGCTCCACGGTCAACGCCAAAGTCCAGTCAACACACAGCTGGCTAAGGCGGTTACAAGGCTTCTTTCAACGAAGGGGACGTATTGAATTGAGAAGCATACTTTGTGGCGCACTGAGGATTGGTAAGCCTTCCAAAGGAAATTTTTTCCTCCATTTGTTGGTAGGATTCATTGTCAATGATTTTTCTTAACACTTTTTACTTTTTGAACGAATCTTATGTCGGAGGGTGAGGTAGCCGAGTTTTTCTGATGAATGGTTCTTGGATAAGGTTAGAGAACTTTTCCATACTAGGCCTTGTGAGGAGAGTCGCCTCAAGGACCGCCGTAGAAGAGGGGGAGGGCTTCATATTTCAGAATTTCCCTCTACCCTGCCCCAACGTTTTTCCAGGTTCTAGAAGTGTGGCCGCCGAGTGGTGTTGGGGGTCCAAAAATATAATAATCCTAGGTGGCGGTCACAGAGTACCAGATTTGTGGAGTAGGGTGGGTGGGAAAGTATAGTCCAACCGTGAGCGGCTGCTTCATTCTTTGCCGTCGTTGCAATGTGTGATATGGCTTATCACGCTGACAACAAACATCTTTAGTCCGCACTGTTTCAGGAGGTGAGTTTTAGCTTTCACATATGGGCAACGTGTACGTCAGTAGTCATTGTGCTATCGCTCGTGGGCGCAGTACTCTATGCAGAGAAGAGTTCACAAACGCACTGCTTTTCATTCTTCAATCATTTCTGTTTTCAGCTGGTATTCTGCTTGGTTTCCTTCAGCTACGCAGTGGACACGGCGTTCCCACAGTATGGGAAACACTTCTCATCCTTATTTCCTATTCTTGTGTTTCAGGAAAGCGCACCTAAGGCATAGTAGCGGCAACTGCCGCCTCATGCTAGTTTATCGCACCCCCAGTTACAATTCTAGTCACAGTAAACAGCTGAACAAATGTATCAGCGATCTTTCCCCTGCGATAACGTCTCCATCCTAGTGGGTGATTTCGATTATGCCGAGATTTACTGGAATGTCATTGCCCGCCCATTCAAGATCCTTTGTTGATATGGTCTCCGTCACAACTTCAGTCAACTAGTCAAGGCTGTGACAAGAGGGGATCACATTTTGAACCTTCTCTTTTGCGCGTCATATCCAATGCACTTACTATGAAAGTGAAAAATAGCGACCACACTTTTGATTGTTTCAGCCTACATAGCTCCTTCAAGCGATATCCGTTCGTCTTGAAGTACAACTGTGAGAGAGGAAATTGCGCTAAAATGTTACTTCAAGAGTTTAAAGGCACGAGTCAGGATTGAATTGATGCGTTATTTTGTTCAACATTAGACAATGAGGAACATTAGTGAGGAGAAAAAGCAAAAAGCACCATAGAAAACACTAAATTTCCCTTAGGAGGCCGGCCGTAGTACGACGGAGAGACACAGCGCTGCGAGGAGAGGGAGAACGCGAGATAGTACGTCGTACGCGAGAGACGCAGAGACCACGTATGCCGTGGTGGATTACGCTGGCAGCGCGGGCAGCGCGGCGGGCAAGGCCTTAGCGCCATTGCCGCGCACTTTTGGGTCGCGATAGTGTCGCGCCTCAGTGCTTGGGGAGCCCACTATCGCACCCTGGGAAGAACTTCTGCTGGTTGCCTAATCCTGACTCGTGGCTTTAAGTTTACCCAAGCCTGATCCTCGAAACCAGATTATCTGGAAGAATGTGGGACCAATGGGTATTCCGAAAAGAAAATGTACTTGACAAGGAATCGAAAGCCCAGCACTCCTCGCCTTATCTGACAGGAATTGCATTCGGCCAGATTCGAGGAGCACTTGCACTTGTCTCACACTGCCCAACTGTCCACTGTTATAGCTCTATATCGCTCCAGTTCTTGTTTTCTGCAATGGTTATGAAAAGGAGCTCTGAAATGAACAGCTACGAAAGTCCGAGGACTTCTGACGCAGCCTATCATTAAAATTTTTAATGAATGGCCATAATAACACTTTAGCGTTTTCTTCCCATAATGCTTGCTTCTTGCAAATGACCTATAGTTCACATATATTTTCAGGCAGCCCTTGCCAGATGTCCTGCTCACACTGTTCCCGGAGCAGGAATGGGCCTATCATATGGCTCACTTCCTTGTACTGGCTACACTAGCCTGCTTCTGCGCGTTGCTCGTTCTTCATCAATTACGAGCATTTATCGCGCGCCGTTTCCTATTCATTGGCGCAACACTCTTCACTTATCGCTCTCTCACACTTATGGTCACCCAATTGCCTTCAGGTTCGCGTATTTCCCATTGGCTTGATACTTATTTTCTGAACCGCTTCTTCTAACATGGATTAGCCTGTGCCATCCTGAAAAGGTCGAAGTGCTGTAAATTGGTCCATTGATCTACATCATGGAAATTAGAAGGGCGTAATGAAGGGGTGCAAAGAAAATATCGAATTGAGTTCTGTTGATCAAATGCTGATTGTTCCAGGCTATGGAAACTTTGACAAGCGATGCCGTGAGCAAGCGAATATCACATTTGATATATTTCTTTCTAGAGTCACTGAGCAAGCACTTCGATTCGGATTCCAGGTGCCCATAGTACTTTTACTGCGCCTACGTACGACGTGTTCCTCTGCCACAAAAATTTCTTAAAATCCAGAAAAATATTAACAGTTCACGTCGTCTAATACTTTCTTTTCTTAACGCGCTTCTTCTAACATGGATTAGCCTGTGCCATCCTGAAAAGGTCGAAGTGCTGTAAATTGGTCCATTGATCTACATCATGGAAATCAGAAGGGTGTAATGAAGGGGTGCAAAGAAATATCGAATTGAGTTCTGTTGATCAAATGCTGATTGTTCCAGGCTATGGAAACTTTGACAAGCGATGCCGTGAGCAAGCGAATATCACATTTGATATATTTCTTTCTAGAGTCACTGAGCAAGCACTTCGATTCGGATTCCAGGTGCCCATAGTACTTTTACTGCGCCTACGTACGACGTGTTCCTCTGCCACAAAAATTTCTTAAAATCCAGAAAAATATTAACAGTTCACGTCGTCTAATCATTTCTTTTCAAGCTGAATGATATAATAGTTTTGAAATTTAACATCATTGACCAATAAATGCACTTAACGTTATTACAGAATAATGCGAAGATCCTGTGTGGCGATATGTTATTCTCCGGTCACACCGTGGCAGTAGTGAGTTCTTCAATCTGGTCTTTTTCGGTACAGTTCCTTTATCTACTATTTCGCCGGCCTATTGAGATGTGTGAGTGAGTGTAAGGTATAGCCCATGATAATCAGAAAAATCCTTACAAACTCGCTCAAAGGCAAATGTATAATTTCAGAAGAATGCCTGTGTCTTTTTTGAAAGGAAAAATCCTTGGACGCGTACACTTGAGACCTGAGTAACAGATTACCGCCCTCTTAGCAGTGTTAACTTTTTTTCGGTAGGCTATTTGTTGTCTTAAGAGAGGATATTAGTCTCTGAGAAAAAAAATTCATGAACAAGTACTGGCAGCACTCCCAAAAGCTCCAGAAAGCAATTGATGGAACAGAAAGGTGGTTCAAAGGTGGAACAGAAAGGTGGTCGAGGTCCTATCCCTGCCAGAGCCCTCTGCTTTTATTGCAAGAGTATGGACATCATAAAACATAAAACTGAAGTCAGAATGGCCCACTTATGAACTCCTCAATTTTTCAAAAGCAAGACTACGCGCTTCAGAAGGCCCAGAATTATTCTACTCGTAAAGGTCTCGTCCAGATCGGTGGTTTTTTCTTCTCGAAGCGGCTAGGAGTTTTCAGTTGTTAGCGGCTTCACTATCTGAGACTGATGTCTTTAAAAATGGCGCGCAGAGCATTAGATCTCACTGTGGTTCGTAAACTGGTAGAGGACTTGTGTAGTTACGGTACCCCAGTTATTTTAAGCTGACATGTTTGAGAATCGGGAAGGCTTCACTGAGACTTCCTAAAACCAACCGGCGGGCAGCTTCACTTTTATGACAGGTAGCGACTACATCAAGCTCACGAAAAACACACCCGTCCTATTATTGCTTATTCAAAAACCGTGACACCAAATTACGGCTGACCGCAGACGTTACAAGCTTTGTAATATTTGCTACTAGAATGGTCCTCCGTAAACCGCTGAGAGCTTCCTTCGCTGCGTATGCTTCACGTTCTAGAATGACATGTCTAACCTAACCGCACCTAGGTCTGTTGGTGAGTGGTTTTCCGCCTCCTTTCCTCAAACACCCCCGCCCTCCCCTCCTCCACTCTACTCCAGCTGCCACTGCAGCACCATGTGGAATGACCGGAAGTGTGCTGGTAGGTGTTTATATAGCGTTGGGGTGTTATACAATCATGTCACTGCTAAACACAAGCTCTCTTATCACTCACTTCATTTTGCGAACGGACAGACATACATACAAACCGGCACGGTTTACAAAATAGAAGGATACTAAATGAGTTAGGAGCACTCTCTATTATCGTATCCGCATTTCTAGAAAGCAAATCTTCCGGCTCTCTAGCATCTAGAATAAGAAATTGGTAAACGACTCACTTTATGCGCTTTTGATACCGACCGGTGTGACTCCTAACCACTCTCTCATTCTAGACGATCTTTGGCACCTGATAATTCATTCGCTTCTCCATATTTAGGCCGAGGCGAGGATGTCCAATCTCCCGATTCGAGTTTCTTGAACTAGTGCTAGCCGGTGAAATGAAAACAGTTTACAAGTGCTTGCACACTACACCAGTACTCATACGAAATACATTATATTTCAGAGACAAGCTCTGGGGTGAAGCTCATTTTTATAAATCACGTCGCGCGAACGTGTTGGGTCGTGCCCGTTGAGGTGGTGCCAGCTTCTTCGCACAAAATGCGCTTAGGGCGCTAATCGTTAAGGACTTGCACCCATCGAAAGTCTTTGCAAAACTCATAGGACTGATACAGGGATCATCGTGTTCTCCCCTTCGGCATGCTCTATAATCTGTTGTGTCTTCTCTGGTCGCTTTATTTCTCCGTCGTTCCACTTACGACGGAAGGTTAGGCCTTTAGTTTTGGTTTCCGATGGTTTTTCTTGCATTCATTTCCATTTTCTGTTCACAACAAGGCATAACTATTGTTATACTATAAGGCGCTCTTGTACAGCATTTTTAGCCCGGGGCTTACCATGCTGATGCTATTTCGGGAGCCGGAGAGCACTATGGAGTCTTTCTTCACTATGGAGTGCTCTCCGGCTCCCGAAATACAGCATCACCCAACAATCAAAGCAACAGTACTAACAGAGTTCTCACTTTTGGAACTAATGGTGTGAGGATGATGCGCTAAACCTAGTCAAGAACAATGGTGTCAGTGAACAAGAGCTCACATCGGAAAGTAGCTAGAAAGAGTTGAACGCCTTCGAAGTGAGCGTAGCGGCAAATCTACCGCAACGCCCACTTGCCAGCCGCGGAGATCGTCGATGCGCGCCCTTGCACTATAGAGTGCATATTTCGAAATTAGTGCTTCCTCTCTTTGGTTGCTCTGCTTAACTCATTTATAATTATCGCATATATTTGTTTGCACTTATGAATGTGCCTCTCTCTGATCGGGCACGAGCCAGCAATAAATGCCGGCGGAGCAAGCTGGTTCGAAAAGCTCGTCCGACATGCCCCTTCCTTCATTTCTGAGGGGAGGAGTGGTTTCTGTTTAGGCTTAATCGGCGGTTTTCGTTCTCTTTCCCTTAGCAGTTATCTCGCCACCTATAACTTCATTATCGATTGAATTCACCCCGCGGATTCAACCTTAATTCGTCCCTTAAATAGCTAAAAAGGAGATTCAACATCCCTGCTTCAATGCAAAGTTTGCCGTTCTCTGTTTGCGGTGTTTACGCACAGTTCTCCAGAAGTTTGTGCTGTTATCCGGGCCTATCGTTGACAAATCTTGGGACTGTGCTCCTTTGAACAATTGGGCTGAAAATAGTTCTGCTGGACTGTATTAGTACGAGTGAAAGACGCCTTTTTTCTAGGTGACAAGTGCCCTTTTTGTCGCGTACTACTTGCCTCCACGGCTGCAGTTCCTACGGTGGATTCCATACCTCCTCGCCGCATCCGCAGCAACTTGTTTGATTATATCTCATACGCACTATACTATTGATATCCTCGTTGCATACTGGCTGTCGAATTTTGTTTTCCGGTACGTGAAGTTGGGATTCAAATCCAACAAGGAACAACAAGGAGCATATTATATTAGCGATTGGAGTATTTTCATAGTTGAGTAATCTTAAGGACGTACCACGCGTTTTGTGAGATCGACATCGTCATACAGCGGAGGAACTCCATACTCTATGGGAACTCGATGCTTTGGATTGTCGAATGGCTTGAGGACGATATCGCCTCCGGAAAGTGAGCACTATACTGTTCGCAAGTCTTGTCGCTGAAATTATTAAATGCCTTTCCGAGAACTAAATACTGCGACTACAATGATATACAGGGTGTGGTAAATTTCTTTGTTTGTTTCAAAATCACAATCTCTGAGGGGAAAAGCAAAGTGGCCGAATACAAGCTTCATACTTTGCCCTTGCCCCACTTTTCGCAAACAATAAATTACATATACTCAAACTACGCCCTCTAAATGAAGGTTGAAAGAGGAAATTTTTTGGAAACGTCGCCTGAGACCAAGTTTTTTTATAAGGTGTCTTGCTTTTCATTTTTTTCACCTCTTTCCTTTAAGAGCAACAAACAAGTTCGAATCTCCGTTTGACGGTCTCTTCCGCGAGCTGCGTCAAGGTCGATGCGGCGAAGGACTACATGGAAGAACTCATGAGCAGCACGTACGTGGAGTTGTGGAGCTACAGCGACCACGCGGTGAGGTGACCAGTAGGGGTCAGCACCGTCGCCGCAGCGCTTAAATGTCAACGGCATCACTGGCACTACTCTTAGTGATAACTAGTAGCGAACAGCAAGACGGTGCAAAATTCAATAAGAAGATATTCGGATCGAGTACAATTTATGAACAGTGAAAGTGAGCATTGGCATTGACCGATGTAAAAAAATCTGAATGTAGCGGGGAGGGCTTACATGAAAATCGAAGTTGTGGGAGAAACAGCAAGTAGCAATCTTAATAAAAAAAAAGTAATGAACGAAATAGGAGGAAGAAGTAGATAAAGAAAGAGAGAGTTTTGTTTCACATCTTGAATAATTTAATTCTGCTTTTAAGTTTTAACCGCAAGACGATCACAAGATGTTTTTTCAGAGTTAGCAACACGTATTAGAAAAAGAATATATTTGTTCGGACTTTCCAAATATGTCGGACATAATATGGTAACTATCAGTTCTTTTTTTTCATATGAAATGCACTCAGCGCTTGGATAAGCAAGATCAGACGGTTCTTGCCACGGTTCTTCATCTTAATACAGATGCGATATTGCTGACCGTTGTGCACTCTTTCACCGCATGGTCTTTCGTCGACGCCACCGAACACGAGCAATTGGGTGTTTCCTCTGCTCTTCAAACACTAATAATGGTCCATAATTTCGTCGCGTTTTTTTTGAGCACCTTGTTGTACAATTGTCTACTAGAAGAAGCACCTACAAGGGATCTCCCTCTTAGCGCTTCTGAGACTTCAAGGTGAAAGCATTTCGTGCCATTCCACATGAATGTTGTTTTGATGAGTCAAGTTTCATTGTCCGGCTTGTGAGGATATCTATCATGACGTTGAAAAAGCAAGTCATCATGGTGGAATTTCTAAGCTGTAAAATTCACTGGCATCGCAGGAGAGGGAATATCCTGGTTGAAGCAAATAAGTGAACATAACGATCGGGGAACTGTACACCGGATCTGTGTGCGGTCGTAGTCATTACAGGCGACCGATGCCAATGAGGTGACTATCTGGCGCCTTTGCTATGCGCTCTCAAGCCGTGTAAAACGTCACCTACATAATTTATAACGGTATAGATTGTGTTCTGTCATAAAATCTGCCTTCATCTACTGTTCTTGGCGATTTAACACTGCAAAGAATGCAGTATCCATTCCATCATCCGACAAAAATGTGCTTTAATAACTATATTCAGTGCGTACACTGGTTGGCATTCGTATGTGAATGTAACCAGTAACTTCACCAACTCCTTATCCATTTATGCCAGCATTCGTAGACCTAGAATAGACAACGTCAAAGCACAGATTTCACCGAAAAACACTTCGGTTACTTTGTTTTTTTTCTGGTAATACTTGCACTGCTCTCCTATTATACACTTGGTATATCAGTCTGTCTGTTAAGGTGTCCGTCCGCAGAATGTCCCGGGTAGAAAAGAAAATATACACTGCTTCTCATAGTAGATTCAAACCCGCTTAAAACAGGGTGAGTAACGGTCGAGGAAATCCTCGACAGGGGGTCGTATTTGCTCCGATGAGAGTTGGGAGGGGGTCGTAATCAAAAGGTTCATCAACGGACACAACGGTGCTGCTGCCACTTATTTGCTGTCATCATTAATTTCACAAGTGTTGTAGTTAGCGTAATGCAAATGATATCTTACATCTATCTAGAATTAAAATTTCAAATGGAAGGTGTTTGCTGATTTGGTTCGTAGTGATTAGTACGAAGACATAGGAGGAAACGCGTCCTGCAGAAGAATCGTAGGGAAAGGGCAGCGAGTATCTACTCTAGAATGATGCACATTTGAGAACTTAGTGGAGGAACAGCATCTTGGTAGAAAGTTCAAAACAGGCAGATTCGCAGCCTTCTTGGCATCATCAGATACTGCAACCGCAAATGCGTCATTCATCAGAACAGGGTTGGAAAGGAAGCAACGTTAATAAAGGAATGATCATACTATACTATGGCCATAAGTGTTATTATGATCAATTGAGACTAGAAACACCTTTCGTCCCCCAAGTTTTGTCATGTAGCCAGAACACCCTTCAAAAGACTCCGAGTTGGGTCATGCATGGCGCATACCAGAATGTAATGAAATGAACGCACCAAGTGTATCTGTACCTAGTGTATGTATCAGTCCAGTCCACTCCCTATTTACTTAATTGAGATGACGTACCACTACAGCATTTCGAAGGTGTTTAAAGAAGTTCCCTGCTACGGCGAGGGAGGAATAGAGTTTTCGAGTGGCTTCGAAAATTTCCTTGACATTTCCTCGACGCAGATTTCTCGCGAACTAGAAAGCGTTCGAAACAACCGCAGTATCACTCGAAAAGCGCAAATCTTCTTTTTCATAATGATCCGATTGCCAATTAACAAAGTTACAGTCTTCCAAATAATGAAAACTCGCATGTAAATTTCACTTTCCTCGACGGTTCCTCGACGTCTCCAACTCTCGAGTAAACTGTGCTTAGAAAAATTCCTCAAGATTCAAAATTAGAAGTATTGTGCATTCAGAAACTCCTTATTTTTAGATAGTTATCGCTGAAGAAAGTTATAGTCCTTCAAATAGGGGTACATTTGACGATTTTTCCAACTAGCGCGCTCTAGGCACAGCGCGCGACGCGATCGCGGGTAGTTAGCGCCGCTATACTGGAGCGCGAGACTGTTGAACTGTCTTTAGGCAGCACCCTCTTCCCTCTTTCTCTTTCTGCTCCCGTTCTTCTCTAGTAGAAGTCTATTCCCTGTTCTACTTTTCGGTTTCTCGTCTATCACAGGTTAGTCCGTTTTCGGGTCCCGTTCTTCGAAAAAATTTTAACCGGGGAAGGGCATCCAACTTCCCACGGAAGTTTGAAATGATACGGAGATAAATCGATACAGCTTCAAAAGCTTATTACAGGTATGGAAAACTAAAACTGCACAATGGAACTGCCAAGGAAGTTGTGAGCAATCACAACTATGCTACGTTTCTCTTCCACCGTTGTTGCAGGGTTATCAACTTTTAGACTTGCGAATTGAGAGGTGCAGTCGAGGAAAAACTGTCGAAGCGTTGGATAGCGCTAATTTTATCTTCCCCCAGAGAAACCAATCAATGATGTACCCTCAACTTACTCAATGATCTCTTCTAAACAAATCGCTCTTAGGTTTTCCAAGAAGCCGCACGCTCCTTTTCCAGACCTGGTTTTTCAACCAGAACTCGACGGTCGAGCACCATTACCTGAGATCTAGGTCGAAATTTTTTACAGCCGAAACATTGAAAAACTAGTAGAATTTCAAGAAGAAGTCATGACTAAGTTACGAGTGTACGCCTGGTTGATTTTCTCATCTTCTCGG